CTCTCACTATTACTACTGGTGACGACCAGGTTGTTAATAGACAGCTATAGCTATTAGACTTCATAGACGGTGTAATGCTGTTATCGCCTACGTAGAAGTGCCTCAACATGAAGACCGAAGGAGAGAAAGCGGGGGTAGGGACTACTGACCAGTACCTAAATACAAGTGTACTTTCTAGAGGGTACACTAGAAATGGATGCTTCAGGCATCTCAGCTACCAAGTGACAATATAGTTAGATACATATAACCACTGGCTCTCTACAGTGGTATGTAGAATTTTAGAATTTACTTTTCCCTTTTTCAAGTGGGAAAGTCTTTCTTTCCTAGTCTTTTTCTTTCTCTTTTGTTGTTTTCTTCTTTTACCCTCCTTTGGTGGAGTAGTCTGTAGGAATACTGGAGGCCGGTTACTTCTTGTCATACCTAATCCATACTACTAAATCACCACCAACAGAAAATATGTAGAAGGTTCACCACTTTAAAGCAAAAATATCAGTAGTCGTCTGTTATTCCCAGGTCGCATTTTTATCACATCAAAATGGAAGCTATTTATTCAGACCCAGCGAGGAACACCAATCCAATCGTTTTTTTCGACATTACCCTAGGAGGTGAGCTTATAGTACCTGGTTTTTTATCTCAGCTTATACCAGAATGTGAAGGTGTTATTACTTGCACCCAGCCATTGTGGCCCCCTTGACAGGCTTGCTGGCATATTTAGGTTATCGCGGTCCATCAGATTCAAATTTCTATATACCATGACCGCAAAACTGACATTTAGCTGCGGTAGGCGAGCCGCTAGGTCGCATAAAAATGGAGCTATTCGCAGATGTCACTCCTAGGACAGCCGAAAATTTCCGCAGATTCTGCACAGGCGAAAGCAAAAACTCCCAAGGAAAGCCCCAAGGATACAAGAACAGCAAATTTCACCGAGTAGTACGTCTACAGTCCTTTGTGTCGGCGCAGAAAGCTGATCTGAGACCGCTTTCAAGATCAAAGATTTTATGATACAAGGAGGCGATTTTGTCAATGGAGATGGAACAGGATCCTGTACCATTTATGGTACCCCCAAATTTCCAGATGAGAACTTTGTTCTGAAGCATGATCGTGCGGGTCTGTTAAGCATGGCTGTAAGTTGACCCGGGTACTGTTGAATTGCGGATGGTGCTGAACGCTACAGAACTCTGGGCCAAATACAAATGGCTGCCAGTTCTTCATAACAACTACAGCGACTCCATTCTTGAATGGGAAGCATGTTGTGTTTGGGCAGGTAGTGGATGGCATGGATATCGTGCGGATGATCGAAAACACACGCACAATTAGGGACAAGCCAAGCCAAGATGTGATCATTACACAATGCGGAGAGATGTGAAGGTGTTCTGCTCTAAGTGCGCGCTTTTTCCGATCCTAAAATAGGATGATAACCATGAAGATGATTAGCTCGTACTCAACCTGGTTTCATATACAGTTTTCTTTTCAAGCTCGAGGGTATGGGCATTTAAACCTCAAGGTTCAGGTTCACCGTTGCAGGGGCAAAACAAGACAGCGAAACTCAGTCGCACAGAACCATCAAAGCTTGAACTTTGCCAAGTAATCAGAAGCCAATGCAATTGCATCCTCAATCTTGTCCGGATGCACGCCATTGCCGATAGACGTCGAACCCTTCCCACCAGCTTTCCCTCCGACAGCGCTAGAAACAACCGCAGCCAAGTCGTTGGCCGAGGCCCCTTGGTCAAGCAATGCCTACAATGGAAGATCTTATTAGACTTGACTTCCGGTTCATATGGGAAACATGAGGGAAGGCTCACCTTTGAAACGTAGCAACCATGAGCAACGCGACCCTGTTCCGAATCGGCGGCTAGGACATAGACAGTCTTATCTTGCAGCTTAGACTTAACATAGTTTAACGACTCGCTCACGGCTTTGGCGTTCGCAGAAATAGGAAGCCTGGTCACCAAACAGGTCTTCCCTTCGTTCGTCGGCGATTCGAAGTATGAAATGATCGCCTCAAGCGCCTTCTTGGCCTCGAGTTTCTGTTGCGCTTTTTGTCCGTCAATGACTTGCTTGTTAATAGATGCAAAACGCTCTCGAAAACGAGATTTCTGGACCGCAGAGATCGAGAGTTGGTTTAGTTCAACTTGTATCTGCTTGGCTTCCTGTTCTTTCTGCGGCCCCAACGCCATTGCATCCAGGCGATCTAGCCGCCTCTCGAATTCTTTGGCAACTCTCTGTACTTCATGGGCGTCCTCCCCAGTCACAGCGATGATCCGACGAATTCCCTTAGCAATGCCGTTTTCTTCCAGGATGATTAGGTCCTTGATGTCTCCTGTCTTCTGGACGTGAGTTCCGCCACAAAATTCTATGCTGACTTCAAGCCAGCGAGGATCTTCCACATTCTTCAATATCTCTTCCACCTCCACACCAACAGAAACAACCCGGACGGGATCAGGGTACGTCTCGCCAAAGACAGCTCTAACACCTGAGATCTGGCGAGCAGTTGCAAGAGGAACGTCTTGGGAGTAGACATCACAGTTTTGGCGGATATACTCGGTCGATATTTCCTCGATTTTCTCTAACTCTTTCTCTGTGACTGCAGACTTGTGAGAGAAATCAAACCTGAGTTTTTCAGCAGCAACAAGTGAGCCCTTTTGCTCGACAGAATCTCCAAGGACTCTTCTGAGTGCAAAGTTGAGGATGTGTGTGCCCGTATGATTATTTCGGATGGGCCAGCGACGAAGCTCATCGTACTCACACAGAACAGCGTCACCGATTGAGAAAGAACCGTACTTCATGAAGCCAGTATGGAGGACATAGCCAGCGTAAAGCTGAACATCACCAACTTCTAGCTCAGCCCGTCCGTCGATAATGATTCTGCCGGTATCGTTCTCTTGTCCACCTTGTTCAGCGTAAAAGTTTGTGCGGTCCAGAATGATGCCTATCTGGTCTCCATCTGGTATCTGCGCCGTCGATGAATGGAAGTTCTTGCCGTAGTAAATCGCTTTGATTTCAGCCGTAATGTTACCCTTTCCGAATTTGGCGCTGTCGTCTGTTTTGGGAACGTCATTCATTTTCTCCAGCTTTCCCAGGTCATGAACGTCCAGTTTAACAGTCCCTGTTGCCGACTTCTTCTGTCCTTTACTAGCCTCCTTGGCTCTCAGACGCGCTTCTTCGAATTCGAGGTCATCAATATTTAACCCACGCTCTTCCGCCATGAGACGGGTTAAGTCAACCGGGAAACCGAAGGTGTCATACAGGCGCCAAACGTCAGCACCATGAAGCTTGTCATCGCCTTTGATCTTTGCTTGCTGAGCATAGTTTTCGAACTGTCGCTCACCGCGATCTAAGGTTTTGGCGAATGAAATCTCTTCCTCATCCAATATTTCCATGACGTCGTGCTGCTTTTTCTTCAGCTCAGGGAACATGTCTCCGAGCTGTTCGACGAGTGTTGGGACAATTTTCGAGAAGAAATTTCCAATCTCAACCTGGAAGTATTTTCGAGCATAGCGAGCACCCCGGCGCAAAACACGTCGAACAACATATCCACGACCATCACTGTTCGGCGTCACGCCATCGGAGATGGCAAAGGTCAATGTTCTAACGTGATCTGCGACAACACGATAAGCCGTGTCGATGCCATCAGAATCATCGGCACCAAACATTCCTCGATATTCCCGGGCTCCGGTGATGTTCTTGATAGCATTGAAAAGGGGAGAGAACACGTCCGTATCATAATTTGATGATTTGTCCTGAAGCACTGAGACTAATCTCTCGAATCCCATTCCAGTGTCGACGTGCTTATTTGGCAGAGGCCTCAAAGACCGATCAGACTCGCGATTATACTGAATGAACACGTTGTTCCATATTTCAAGAACGTTGGGATCATCTTGATTGACAAGATGAGCGGCATTGCGGCCGCCAATCCGATCATAGTGAATCTCACTACAGGGCCCACAAGGGCCCTGATCGCCCATTTCCCAGAAATTGTCCTTCATGTTTCCTGGAAGGATATGATCCTCTGGAACACCCGCAGCTCTCCATAGGGATTTTGCCTCTAGGTCGGGTTCGAGTCCACCCTCTTCGTGACCTTCAAAGTAGGTGACATAGAGGCGTTGAGGGTCCAAACCGTAAACCTTCGTCAAAAGTTCCCAAGAGTACCGGATTGCATCTTCCTTGAAATAGTCGCCAAAGCTCCAGTTTCCGAGCATCTCGAAGAAAGTCTAGTCATTCATTAATATCTCTCGTTAGCGTCGGAGCTGCTCCACCCTGGCAAACTTGACTCACATGGTGGTAACTGTCCTTTCCCACGTCGTCCAAATCCTGTATTCACTTTGGTCAGACTCTGTTATCTCGCCTCTCGAATCTCACGTCTAACTTACATTGTGCTTCCMGCCAGCACGAATGCACTGCAATTGATTTTTAGTGACCAGTTTGATATCGAGGAGGGTTAAAGAGTGACCTTCTGAGAATTTACTGCGCTTTTCAGTTTTGCAAAATCAGAATGCGGATCCACGGTGCCCAGGAAGATGGACTTGAACTGATTCATTCCAGCATTTGTAAAAAGCAGTGTTGGATCCGAGAGGGGCACGACAGGAGAAGATGGAACTTAACATTGTCAGTTGATTGAAGAAGAGGCGTCAGAAGCCCCAAATACGTACCGAATGTATGGCCATTTTGTCTGAAATAATCAAGGAATGTGTCGCGAACGCGTTTGGCAGTCCAGAGCGGACTGCCTTCGGAGTCTGAAGTCATTCTGAAGGGTCGATAGTTCGTACGGTGTTGGTTTTGTTCTGGGGTATGTGTAGTGTGAAGGTGGTAGAATCTTCTGGGGTTTGACCTAAACGGTAACGGCGGATGACTCAAGGCCATATCCCCATTTCTTGTAATTCTGGAAATTCGCATCAAGTAAAGGTCGATAATTCCTTGATCCTTCTCAGACTAAAGACAGTGGGTACTAATGACTGATCTTAATATCAAAAGAACACTTGACCGATAATATTCTCTTGCGCATGTCGTATCTTGGTGGTGGTGGGTGGTGTGAGTTCCTGATGACTGAGGCACCCCAGCGCGGGAAAAAGCGACCCGCAGAAAATGATCCTGATGGTGACCAACCTCTGGCAAAGAAGTTCGGACTGCTGCAAATAGGTATGTCTGTCCAGTAACACTTTGAGTCTATCATCTATCAATATTGGAATTCAAATTTCGCTGTATAGGCGTACATTGACTAAGACTCTCATCCCATCTAGAACCGTGTTTGTTTGGCACACCTCAGATATGTGGCGGGGATACATCTCCAACTCAGTCAAATCCATTTGATACGACTGAGCGGATGATGTTGGATGACACTAAGCATACAATATACATTCATGACCTTGATTCTGAGCTAGCAGATTCTGAGCCTCAGGAGTACTCAATCACCTTTTTGCCCGAAATTGGAGCCAAGTTGGGGTCTTTGCAGAAGTTATTGAATGTTGATAAACAACCTCAGAACAACGAATTGGTCCTCTACAGAGATCCCAAATCTCTGACCGTTCCAGAGGAGGATGATTATGTGCGGAGAGCCATCCTTGATTCCAGGAGACGAGCGAGAGCAGCTCAGACTCAGCGCAGATCTGCAGAGAAAGTAGTGAAAGAAGTTAAGTCGAATCTTGTGTGCAATGCTGATGGAGATGTAATGGAGATAGATCATACCATTCAATAAGTTCTGTATTTTATTATATGCCTTTTTCTTAGAGATGTATGCTTTTATATCAGTGGTTGATACCTCCTTGATTTGTATATTAGTGAACAATTCACTTGTACAGAATGGAGGAGAATACTATGGCCATGCAAATAACAAACAATGCCATGAGTAGACACCCATGGTATCAGGGCATACTGCACTCATCTAATTTGATTTAACCCTTATAAAAATTACATATATCATATGACATACTGTATAGGAGATTGGTATGTTTAAAATAGTTATAATACAGGCTTAGATACATTCAGTTTGAGTTCAGGTAAGTTCAACCTCAGTTGGAACCAATCTAAATGTTAATTTAGAAGTATACTCTGTATTTTGCTTAGTAGTCACTAATTCTTAGGAATGTCCTGGAAATTTTGATAGGGTAGTGATACAGCAACACCCTCTAGGGAAATAGTAATACTGTCTTGGATAAAGTGCTTTAATTGATACCAGGTAACTCCGTACCTGGTATGGTTATGGTGGTCGATGCCATATTTCAGGGAAGATGATGCCATTCATAAGTCAAGACTAAGCTGAGCTAAGAAGTAGTAGGCATAAGATTATATAACTAAGTTAGTAAACTATTAATATAAAATAGTATCCTAGGATTACAAAAGAAAAAAGAGAAAAAGAAATAACTTTAGCTAGTAAGATAAAGGTAAGATAAAGGAAAGATAAAGGAAAGATAAAGGAAAAAAGAAAAATCTATATTATATAATAAAGACTATAAAATAAGAGTAAAATAATAGGGTCTAGGTAAGCTTAGTTTACTAAGCTATTCTTTAAAAAAATATAGGATATATTATTATATCTATCTATAGGTTCTTTAAGATATTAATAATTAGGTTATAAATCTTTATTATTAATAACTACTATTTAATTATAAAGAGATTAAGCCTATTTACTACTAGTTTACTAAGGTTAAAGAACTAGCCCTCTAAATATCTAAGAGTATTACTAGTATCTAAAGTAAATAGTAAGTCCTTAGTATATATAAAAGCTTTAGCTAATATAGCTTATAAGGTATAGGCTAGTCTTTCTTAGAGATACTTAGTAAAATCTTTATATTATTCTTAAAAATATTATTTTATAATAGAGAAAATAATTATTAGAACTATTTAGCCTAATTAGAGGGGATATTAGATAGAATATTATATAGAGAGAGAATATTCTTTATATACTTAGATTTAACCTTAGTCTAGCTTATATAGTGGAATACTACCTAGTTATTATATAATATAAGATTATTAGATAGCTTCTATTAATATACTTCTTTATTATCTAATTCTATATAATTAAGTAATCTTTTATAGCTTATAATTAGCTTAATCTTTTTATTAATTATATTATTAATATTTACTAAAGCAGCTTTATATTTACCTTTTTATTTTTAATCTAGTCTAAAATTATACTCTCTTATTCTATCTATTATTATAGATAAATAGGATAGTTATTTAGTAACTAAAGATTACTAGTATTAAAGGACTTAAACTAGTCCTTATTATTTATTTTATTTTCCTTCTTTAGCTAGTTATTAATAGCTTTAAGTATTTTTATATCTATAACTTATTTAAGGATATTATATTCCTATATTCTTCTCTTAGTATAGTATATTACTATCTTTATATTATAAGTATAATATTTTAGTAAATAAATACTTAAGCTTAAAAAAATATTCTTTTATAGCTTTAAGCTAGTAAACCTTATCTTATTAATTAGAGAATAAGTAATAATTTATAGTATTAATTATTTATTCTATTAAATTATAATATTTATAGTAGGGCTTGCTTACCTTAAATTTTATAAATAAAGATATATAGATAAAATAAATAATATAATTTCTCTTAGTAGATAAAGAAAATAAATAAGGTTAGTCTATAATAAAATTAATAGTAGATATTAGTATATCTAGGATTTTAAACTTTAGGATAATAGGGGGTAAATTATTAATAAAAAATACTATAAAATCTACTATAAATCTATTTATTAATATTATAGGGATTAATATAAATAGGCTATAAGTAATATCTTATACTAATATCTAAGCTTATTAAATTAGGTCCTATTTTTTAGCTTTCTTAGTTACTTTTTTATCTATTTATTTTTTAGCCTTGTTATCTATACTTTAATTTATTATTTTATTATTATTCTTAGCTTTAGTAGCTTTACTACTTTTATTTTAACCCTTATAAGAAATTTTTATATTTTAAAATCTTTAAATTATAAGCCTTTATAATTTAGTTATATATTAAGCCTCTATCTCCTATTATAATTTATTTAGAAAGAAAGAAATTAATTCATTAAGATCTTTATTTTTATTTAGTTTATTAAGTTATTATTTAATTAATTAATTATTAGTATTTTAGTTATCTTATAGGAGATTATTATAATTAAAGTCTAATACATTAGTCTAGGATAAGATCTTTAAGGACTATTTATAAAGGATTTAGTTTTTTTAGTAATAATACTTTATTAGAGTCTAATAGTAATTTAAGCTTCTATTCTAAGTAATTTTATAATCTTTCTCTTATTTATACTAGAAGGAAATCCTAATCTTATTAGGTTAAGCTATAGGGTCCTCTATTTTATAATCTCTTCTCTTATCTTAGGTAAAAGAAGAATCTAATCTAGCTTTATTAAACTATAAATAGGCTTAGAAGATGCCCTTATTAGTTTAAAAGATAGTCTTACTAATAGAGCTAGGTTATTTCTCTATTATATAAATACTTATTAGGGAAATATAGTAGGAGATAGTTTAATAATCTTATCTAGTAAGGACTTAGATAGTTTAATATAAGATAGTACTAGTAGATGGATTTACTAATAATATATTAGATATAAGGAAGAGAAGTTAAGTAGATAAGTAAAGAGAATTAAAGAAGTTTAAGAAGGAGAAAAACTATAGTAGTAGAAGGGGAAAATAGTAGTAGATATATATATTTATATCTCTATTAAATAAATATACTAAATAGTTATTAGTAAATAGCAGAATTATTAAATAATAAGGAAATTAATAGAATTAATAAGTCTTAATAGGAATTTATTAAGAAGAATAGTATATAGTTAATAATAAATAAAATTAATAATATATAAAGAAATTAAGTAGAATAATATAGCCTTAAAGTATAAAGAAGTAATATAAATATAATTAAAGATAAAAATAAGATAGTATTATTAGATACTTTTAAACTCTTTAATAAGTTCTTAAGTATTACCTAACTAGTCTACTAGTAACTATTAATTTTATTTATTATTATAACCCTTCTATTATATAAGGTATTATACTATATTTATTTTTTTTTTATCTTTAGCTAGTAGTTTATATTTAGTAATAATCTTCTTTATCTTATAGAATTAGTATTTATTAGTATTTTCTTTAATATTAATAGGGCTAGGTTCTTCTAGTTTATAGTTAAATAAATCTTTTATTATTATATATCTTAAGATATATAATAAAGATAATAGATATATAATAAAGATAATAAGGTATAATCTCTAGTCCTTTAGAAAATCTAATTATATACTAGTAGATTTATAGTGTCTAATACTTTAAAAGAATCTATATATTAATTACCTAACTTATAGCCTAGAGTAGACTATATAATATAGTTAATATAAAGTTTTAATAGTATCTTATTATCTTTAATAAAGATAAGTAGTATATAATACTTATTATATTACTCTTTTATTATAAATATTATAAAGTATAGAGCCTTTACTACTATTTATATAATATATAAATAACTTATCTATTAAGGTAGGATCTTAAAATCTAATATTTAGTATTATAAGAAGGTAAAAATTATATATAAGTTTATATAAAGTAGCCTTAGTTAATATATTCTTTATAGAGTTAAATATTCTTTATATAATAGCTAAGACTATTAGCTAGTCTATAATTCTACTAAGTAAAGTAATAGTATATTAGAGGTAGATTTTAATTATTTAGTTTATCTATTTACTCTACCTATCTATTTAGGTATAATAAGTCATAAAATATCTTTATTTAATCTTTAGTATTTTAAGGAACTACTACTAGACTTTAAATATAAATTTTAGATCCTTATCTAAGGTAATAACCTTAGGGATTCCCTAGTTCCTTTTATTAAGTTTAGATAGTAAAGTAACTATCTATTTTTAAGTAGTCTATATTATATATCTTAGTAATATTATTATCTATTTTATAAATTTATTAGTAACTAATATTATTATATTAAAGATTCTAGTATCTAGTAATCTAATAATAATATTAATTATAATTATATAGAAAGAAATTATTAGTATTAAAATTAGTTATAAAACTTTATAAGGTTTTACTATATCTACTTCTTCTAATATTTAGAGTAGTAGTAGATATATTCCTTAACCTAGTATTTTATTTAGTTAAATACTAGACTATAGAGTAATTTTATTATTCTATTAATACTAGGATAACTATTACTATTATATACTATTTATAATATCTTATAAAATAAGATATATAGTATATATAGATAGCTATTACTTATATATAATAAACTATTATTACAGAGTTTATATAGTAGGATAACTAATATTTTAGAAATTATATTCTTTTAGAGTATATATAGCACCTAAGACTATCTTTACTCTTTTAAATATCTATTAATAATATTTTTTTTTTAAATTCCTCTAATAGTACTAAGCTAATAACTATTATTAACTATAATTTCTTACTATAGAAGGTATAGCTAAATAAGATATCTAAAGAGTCTATATTAAGTAAAGTTAGGTTAGGATTATCTTTTATAAAAGAAAACTAAGATAGTATATCTAGAATAATATATTTCTTATTTAATTTATAAAATAATATTATAGTTAGAAATAGTTAGTAGTATTATAAAGCTTATACTAGTTATAGATTTAACTTATCTACTAAGAATATTATTAGATTTATCTATTTAATAATATTTATAATAGTTATATAATCTATATAAATATAGAAGCTAGCTTTA